TACGGGTTTTGAAAAGTTAAGGGTGTGAATAGGGAGGAAAAATTTCGGAAGGTGTTGACCGTGAAAAACAATTAAGTGTAGGGTGCAAATAGGGACTTTGGCCTTTTTTTTTTTTTTTTGTAGGCAATGGACCTTTTCCACGAGCTTGTACTTATGAGAGAAATTTTACAAACAGCCTGCCTCACTCGTCCTAGAGGCCTCAGGTTGAGGTGGGTTAGTAATACGTAGAAAAAAAAGGCCAAAACTCTAATTTATCCCCTATAATTTTTTCCTTTTTGTAATCAATACCTTAAATTAATTTTTATCTTAATCAAAACCTTCTGCAATTTATAACCCGTAAAGTACCCAAAATTATAATGGCCCATCATGTGCTGGTCACGTGGCCATTAAAATCCGTCAGCTAATGCAATACATGGCACCTAAGTATTAATGTTGACCTGACGTGGCTACATTAATCTAATTTGAATTTTGTTTAAATGATGTGGCTGGATATGTGAAGACAATAAAAAAAAGTACGATTATTGAATTTAATTGTCTCTGCTCCTCTATGGTTCCTCACCTTCTTCCTTTCTTCCCCTTCTCTCTCCAATCTCCATTGCTGGCAATCTCTTCCTTCTCTGATGTCGATTCTCTTCTTGCCCCTCGATCTCTCTCATTGGCTTTAAGCCTCTACTCTCTAGCCTAGCTCTTTTCCCTTCCATAAAATCCACTACCCAACTCTATGCTTGCTCTAGGTTTCAGCAGATCTTGGCATCCTCTGACCCTTGCCTCTTTCTTTCTCTACGTTGCTAAGCCTCCTCTCCACTCATTCCTTCTTCCCCAGCCGATTGACCATGAAAAGTCTAATGTTCTCGATCTAGGTTTGGAAGGCTGCACAACAGGGAACCCATATGGGTTCCTAAATCTGTTCTCAAATCTATTGACTCGGCTTCAACTCAGTGACAAATTTATCCTTTAGATCATTGTTTTGATTTTAATAAGTAATTCGTTGCTTCAAAATTGCAAGAAAATGAAGAGAAAATGAGATCTTTTTTATTGTTTAAATTTAAATTTTTTTTACTTCCTGTAATTTTTTTTTTTTTGGGGAATTTTTATAGATTTCCATTTTTACTTGATTTTATTGCTTGGTTGGTTTATTGGAGGGGGGAATTGTAACTAGAGAAGTAGATGAGATGAATTGTAATTGGAGAAGATGAAAAATTGTAACTGGAGAGAATTGCTGAAGAAGGGATGGAAGTGATGAGATGAGATGCTAGGGGAAGAAGATGGAGAAGAGAGAAAGATATACGATATTTGGGTTAAATGTAGTTTACTTTTTTAAAAATAAAATTATTTAGTGTTTATGAATAGATAATCTTCAACTGCTCAGAAAATAATTTATAAGATAATTATTTACTAAAAAATAATTTACTGATCTTTTCTTTAATATTTAATATTTTTTGATTTTTTAAAATTAAAA